CCGCCCCGCCCAGCCCGCACGCGTGCCTCACGTGCGCGTGTACGTGCGGCCGGGGCGTGCGCGCCTTGTGCACGTGCACGGTCTCGCACCGCCTTTTCCAACGCGCACGCCGCGCTCGCCCGTCGCGCTTTTTGTTCTTTTTTCGCACCGCGCCGCGCCACACCTTTTGCCCACGTCCGCTTTGCTTCTTCCTACGCGCCGCACGCGTTGCTCGGTTTTTTGGAAGCGCGTCCTCTGAAGCAGTCCGCTAGGTCAGGTCGGGCAGAGCCTCGTGGTGCTGTGTGCATGTGGAAGTTGGTTTGTTTGACGGGTGTGGGAGTGTGCGTCGTGTGTCTTGTCTGAGTCAGTCGGTGCCCTGACCCAGCCCCGCCCGCCTGTCATGCCGAAGCACGGATGGACGTCTGCTCTAAATTATTTCACCTTCGCGGAAAGAGGACGCCCACTATTTATCTGCGCATCTTACCGTCTCGCTTTTGTGTGTCCCTTTGAGCCCAGAACCGGGCTTCTCCCTGGAGGGGGGGGGGGAGGAAGGATACATGGGCAGATGCGCATGAGGGTCTGGGGCCATCGTCATCGGCTGTCATCCTCTATGTCTCAAGAAGTTCTTCAAACTATTCAGCAGGGGGGGGGGGGTTCGGAATTCCGTACGTACCCACTGCTGTGACTAGGCGCGACCAGTGCGGGGGCGGGGCGTGATATCTCTCTGCAAATTTGAACAGAGCCGAGTGGGACTTCCCGCCCGACAGTCCCAGCCAGGCACGCAAAGCTCCACCACGTAGTTGTAGATTTTTTTGCTTCCTTTTTTTTTCTACCGCTGACTCGACGCGACTTGCCTGCAAAAAAAGAAAAGAAAAACAAATGTTTATGGTGTAATTGCCTGCTGAAATCACCTGGGCGCATTTTTGCTGTCGGTTGTTGTGTATCTTCGCCTCCGCCTCCTCCTCCCCGCTGCCCCGCTGCCATTACACGGTAGGCTAGCTGTGAGGCGGGCCGCCCCCACCACCCCTACCGTCTCACCCCCCTC